GGAATGAATTTTAAGAATTGAATGCATTAAGTAAATATCTACTAAATACTTATATTATATATGCTTGAAATAAAGTCCTTCAATAAATCAAGTATCCTAAACAAACTAATTCAGTGAAATTCCCTTAGAAAATAAAAACAATTTTCAATTTATAAGAATTACCGAATGAAATTTTATCAATTTTTTATGAAACAAACTTTTTTGTTAATATCATCACAGTTTTCAAATCACATCACCAGCGCACATTTTCTTCAACGTAACGAACCTTCACAGTAACCTTTATTATTAAAATCTGTTGGCTATAATAGTGTACAACAAGCACACAGGCACACAAGCACACAAGCACACAAGCAACGAAACCACTTGAATGTTGCTGTGCTGTTTTTTTAAATTTATTACCATCCCAACACAAGTTGTTCTTAAAGCTAAAACAAACAAAAAGCAGCTGACGTAAGTATGGATGTGTAAGTAGGCAAAGGATGCTGAGAGCCTGAGCGGACCAGGCAAATTGCAGACTTTTCGTAAGAGAGCATCAGACAGCAACTTGTGAAAATGTAGCACAATAATAAAAGCTTTGTGAACCTATCCTCCGCGCAGAACACAGCCACAAATTTCACTCAACCACAAAACTTTTCCACAAAGGACAAACTGATTTAACTTTCGTGGTTGAAGCTGTGTTCCTTTTGTTTCGTTTGACAAATATTAATTTATTGTGAATTTTATTTTCTAAGGTTAAGTCACGAATAAAGTAAATGTTTTAGATATAATTTTTTCCACATCTTAATAAAATACAAGTTTTGTGTGAAAAATATAACCAAATAACTAATAATAAAATCAATTTTTAACTAAAGTAGACGAAAGTCATAAAGTATAGTAAAATCGCAAATATAACTACCGATATGAGATATATAATTGTTACAAATCTTTCAATAGAAAATATTATTTATTTTATATAAAAAGCACGAAAAAAAAACAAACTTTATCAAACTGAAAAAGAAACTAACAAACAATAAAAAGCCTGTAAATATTGTCCATTTATTAAACTAAGTATACTATAATATTATTAGCTTAGGAAGGAATAAGATTGATAAAACTAATAAGAAATTCATGTTAAAAATATTTTCATATTATTATTATTGAAACAAAACTTTAATAAAAGCAGTTTTTATATATACAGTAAAATTCGCCTGACTCGAATCGTCAAGAGGTGGTAAAAAAGTTCGAGTTAGGAAAAATTTGAGTTATAGAGAAAACACTTTTTATTTCTTTTTCTACCAAATATTTTTTATTTAATATATTCAGTAATATTTTTTTTTACTTTTTACCATTCTACTTTAAATTTCCAAAGCATTTAATGATTTCAATATACGAGGGCGTATGGTTCTCTATATACCAATATATGTACCAATACGTATGGTTTTCTGTTGACCTTTTGTTCACTTTCTATATAATTTTCCAAATTATTTAATTAGAATATATCATTCGGTGCGTTCGCTCTAGAAAGGATAAATGTTCAAATTATCTTGATCGCATCTTTTTTTGTGGCAATTGTTTTTGCAAACTGCTTTACCTTTTACCCGACAGATATAGATTTTTTGCTCTTACAGTAATTATTCACTCTTAACATAGCTTCGTCCATGTCATCATATTTACATATTGTAACCCGTTTATTTCTTTTATTAGATTATCTTCTTATCTTAATAAGAAGATTAAGATTATCTTATTATCTTAATAAGAAGATTAAGATTATCTTATTATCTTCTTTTAAGTTGTCTTTATTTTTTAAAATCATAACTGATGTGCTACAAGCAATTCCATATTTTTCTGCTACATCTTTTTTTTTATCACCTTTATTTACTTCAATAATTAAATCAATTTTTTACATGTTTGTCAAAATGTTTGAAATTTCTTCTAACCATGTTTGTGATTGAAAGGCTACTACTTCATTGACAATAAACACAACTCATCGTATTGAGGAAATTTACAGTAATAATAGCTTTTGTTGACCTTCTAAATGTGGCCGAAAGCTAAAATCTAATAATGTCGCGCAAGTTAGAAAATTAATTAGAAAAGTATTTGAAAATATTAAGGCAAGGCAAAACCAAAAATTCGAGTTGTGGAGATAAATTTAAATGGAAGTGGTGAAAGGCTATGTAAATTTATACGGGAATTTTACTGTATTTGAATATAGGTATATTTATTAGTAACACATTATATCAAAAGTATGTTACTTTTATTTTAAATATATAATTAGTAAAATATTAAATTTAATATGAATCTCTGTTTTTCTATATCTATTTTATCTTTATTTTGATATCTCATTTTAAAAACTGATATTTCATTTTTAAATTTCAATGAATGTACTTTAACTTTGTTTTTGCTATTGTTTTATTTTAATAGTTACGCAGATTATTACCTTTTATCCAAATAAATTGCAATTTTTCTCGTTTTTTAGGTGTGAGATTATAATGAGTCTATTTTCTGCACCACTGCATATCCATCAACATCTGTGACTAACACTAAAACTAGCTCATCGTGTCCCTTGTCGCTAAGAGTACGAAGCCTTTTTGTTATATATGTAGTTATAAGGAAAAGAAAAGATTTACTGCAATACTGTCTTGACAGTTATTTGATTTTTTCCATTCCATTTGTTTGTTAACATATTTATCAAGCAAACAATGTTTTTTATCATACAAGAAAATTCGAGGAGCATTGTTGCATATCACATATTGTGATAAAGACGAGAGCTTCTGGCTCACCAGTTGCCGTATGCGGAAGCAGTCACACTTCGCCTACGCGTGTTATCACAGGAAAACTGGTAGATAATCGTGTCAGTAAGCTACCGAATAGATACCAGAAGGCTATGTTCATTCTTGACAAGATTGCTAAATAGATGAGTACAAAGAGTACCAAGCCGATCTTCCAAGACCCTAAAAGGCAATAAACAAAGATAGGTCTCAGGACGAGATTGCCCATATTTGAAGTAGAAACAAAACTTACAACAAATAATAACAACAAATAACCGTTAACAAGCACTACAGTAACGATACAGCAAGAGATGAGCTACAGGTAGCAGTTATTGACGTGATTACCGGAAATGACAAAAAAGTGCTTCAATAATAGACAAGGACAAAGTGTAAGGAAAAGGATGTAAACCCTGCGAGCCGAGAACTTGTAACGACACGGATTCGTCGTTTTTATTTTGCTGAGGTATCACTCAGTCGCGGTCCGGGTCGTTGCAATAAATTTGTTTTATTGACTAGTTCGAAGCTGGTAAACCAATGAGTGGAAAGTAAAAGACCGTTTGTTTTTATTATTTTAAAATTTTATTTATTAAAAAAAAAGCTTATTTTAAATAACTTATTCTAGTCTTGATTCTACTCAGTAAGTTTTATCCAAAGACGTCAGAACATCAAAGGGTTTTTTTCAAATCTACGTAATTAGTTTCTAGCCAAAGACGTCAAAACATCAAAGGCGTTTATAAAGTCTATTCAATAATTTTTACCCAAAGACGTCAGAACATCAAAGGGTTTTTTCCAAATCTACGTAATTAAATTCTAGCCAAAGACGTCAAAACATCAAAGGCGTTATACAATCTACTCACAAGTTTCTACGAATTTATTTAGCCTTAGCGTCGAAACACTATAGGCTTCTAAAAGTGGACTTAGCGCTGGAGTAGTGATCTACTCACTTCGGTGTGCCGGTGCTAAGTGATCTTTCATATAAAATCTCCGCTATTTATATACGACACTTTGCTTTGCTTAATTGCACGCACAACCGCACAAGTATAATTCCCTGTCAGCTTTGTTATGCTTGTCGTGTGTGCGTATGTTCGCGGTTGGCTTTGTTTTGCTTGTCGTGTGTGCGTGTGTTCGCGGTTGGCTTTGTTTTGCGTGTCGTTTGTGCGTATGTTCGCGGTTGGCTTTGTTTATTTGTTTAAATATATAATTCGAGTTTTATCCAGACGATTTTTAGTAAAAAATAATAAGTTTTATGTAGGGCGGAATTTGTACAAAATTCCGTCCTTACATTTCCCTCCTTCTTCGGGGGATTTGAACTCGACTACTTCGTTGAATGGTTTCGTGTCCGCTTTCTAGGATTCCTAAAAATTTTGAGGAATTCATCTTGATGTGTACTGGTGTAATCCTGCTCACGTGGTACATCTGGACTTTGAGTTTTCGACTCTGTGTTGAGTTTTAAATTTCGCAGACGTGGTACATCTGGACTCTGACTTTTCGACTCTGGGATGAGTTTTATACTTCGCTGACGCGGTACTTTTGGACTCTGACTTTTCGACTCTGTGTTGAGTTTTAAACTTCGCTGACGCGGTACTTTTGGACTCTGACTTTTCGACTCTGTGTTGAGTTTTAAACTTCGCTGACGCGGTACTTCTGGACTCTGACTTTTCGACTCTGTGTTGAGTTTTGAATTTCGCTGACGCGGTACATCTGGACTCTGACTTTTCGACTCTGTGATGAGTTTTAAACTTC